CTTTTTATTTATTCACAACGGGTGTTCTCCAAAGGGGTCAGGGTACTCACCGTGACCTCCTCTGGGTAGACGCCAGCCCGGAGCAAAGAGGACTTCCAGATGTCCAGCTCCTCCTGAGAGTTGCAGACCAGCTCCAGAAACTTGTGGTCCTTGTACACGTTCCTTCAAGTATATCATACACTCAGAAAAATATGCAATACACAATGCAAAAAAAAAAAAAAAAAACAGCGCCTCTAAACTTCAACCACAATTCAGTGGAATGAGATGCATTCAAAAGTCAAACAAAACCGCAACAACAAATCTTGTGAGTCTTCAAGAGCCTCAGAAGGATTCATTTCCAGATATGGTTTGCTTTTTTTTTTTTATGATGCCACCACAGAAGTGTACCGGTGACGGCAAATAGGAACACGTGAAACACTTCATCTTTCCCAAATAGCCATTAATCCGTTCCAGCCTCCCAAAAATCGCAACAAAAATAGCCAAGAAAAATAGCACTCTCCGTTTATATTCTATAAAAACAGAGTAATGACATCATCAACTAGAATGGAAATAAACACTTTTTGCCACCATTCAACAGACATTGTGTTGCTCCTTGGGTGCGCATCTTACCCACTTGGCGGGGGCAGCAGAATAATGACACAAATGAAGTTTCACAACTGACTTGATAAATCGCAGTAAAATTTGTCATTTTTCGCAAAAGCACAAAAATATACGCCTTGCATATTGCTATATTGTCGGGGTACAGGTGTTGCTTCACCATTTATATTCACATATCCTTTCCTTCAAAGTGTTTTAACGCGACAACACTGATGCTATTGGTTATCCCGCCGATGGCGTTTTGCATTATTTGTTAGCAATAAGCTGAACCGACTTTAAGGCAAATGGTTTGAAATGTGATTTTCTGCTTTCTGTTTTGTTTCGACAGTAAACCTCAAACTGGGAGTGGCAATAAACAGCTTGACCCCTCTTTTCAAAAGAAATATCTGCTGCTTTTTAAGGGAGTTCAGTTCAATTGCAAAACAAAATAATAACAATAATAATAATAACAATAATAATAAAATAATCATCTCTTCGCTCCCAAAAGCTTTTTTTGCTCCTAGCTGTTATCGTCAAGGCATTATTGAAAAAAGTGAGCCATTCTACTTTATTTCAGTTTTCACATTTGAACATATTGGATTTTTACACAGCAGATGTAACCATAGTCATTGGCTGCTATTTTGAAAGCAGTGCAAAAGATGCTCACGCCCCCCCGCCCCCCGAGTCTCTGTCCCGCATATATTCATGCAATTAAAACATAATTAGCGAGCTATAAAGTTATAATTTACAATCCCTGCAAAGTGCCAGGACTCCATGAAGTTTTGGCCTGGTTCCACTGTGACCGCGGTGCTTTCTTACAAGCACTCCAGTATTCTCCAACCAGTCTTTAGGCCAAGTTCGCAGCATTGTGGTAGGAACCCTGTTGATTTTAAATGGTAGCGCATTCAAGGTAGTGGGGATCCAAACTCACACGTCTCAGCAGTTACTGAAACATGCTCCCGCTGTAACTCATCTACTGTACTCGTATCCTTTCCTCTTTTGTTTGCATTTTATGGCCTTGCTTCCACATCATCTATGTGCTTTGGCTGCGCAAGCCACTCAACCGGGGGTGGGGGGAGAACGAAAAAAAAAAAAAGAGCAATGTGCGTAGCATCTGCAAGACATTTTTCAATAATCGTTCAGTTGTTCCCTCCCCTCCTCTCCTCTCGCTGTTCCCGCCTCACACTCACAACCTCAAATATGTGAAATGTGTGACTGTGAGACAATTGCAATGCTGAGCGAAAATAGAGAGAACAAGTAAGAGAGAAAGGGAGAGCAATGAGGAGAGATCAACAAATAGGCCGGAGCTCCACTGGGTGAGGCTAATAAGTCAGGGTGTGGTGGCGAGCAGTCAGGGCAGCAGGCCAACTATGACAATCCTCGAGCGCTATTACTCTACAGCACAGCCGAAGAAACCTTCTGCGTGCCGGCCAGATGCGTCTCATCAGAGCATCTGATGTAGTTTTGTCATGCAATTCGAAACATAAACTAAAGTCATGAACAGCCCCTCACGGCCCCTTTTTTTCAAGGCGACTTGATCAAACTTTGATGCCATGCTCCAAACACGTTAAACGGTGGAGACAACAAAGCTTTGTAATTTAGCGCCGTCCATCTGTTTTGTATCCCCTCTTGGGATTGCGAATCATTTGGGTGGATTCCCTCGTAGGAGATCGTTAAAGTACAAAGCCTGGACTTTGCCCAAAATGGCTGCTTCAACCTAAAATGGCGGACTTCCTGTACATTTGGTGGCATGCGTCCTTTCTTATGACCGGTGAATTCAGTGTAAACTAGTGTTAGCGGTTTTTGAGGGTGAAACTGCCAAGCGCTGGAATTTGCCCGATGATTTGCTGCTTGAAAACAAACCGACCAAATCCCAGTTCAATTTGAGGCATGGATCCTTGCGACTTTTGTGTGCAGCCTGTTATGACAGACATGTACACCAACTTCATTTCGATGGGTGAAACCGGTGCTATTTTTTTCCCCCTAAATTTACAAGAAATGATCGAAGGACGAGCCGTGAATTTCATCCAACGTGGCTGCTTCAAATCAAAATGGCCAACTTCCCGTTTCACTTCAGGCACGGCGGGTCCTTCAGACTTTTTGGTGTGTCCTGTTATGCTAGGCATTTGATGAAACTGGTGTCTGCGTCTTATTTTTCCAACCTTCCGACTTTTCTCAACACGATCATCACACATTGACGCCATTCTGCGAGGCTAAAGTCCCATTTCAGGCACGGACGGGGTGCTGAAACTTTTTCATCTGTACTTTTATGAAAGACATGTCCACCGATTTCCACTGTTCATCACTGCTCGCAACTTTCATTCAACATCAATTTGGCGTGGTAACAAACACTGGAACGGAAAAAAGTGTTCCTACTGCTGGTCTACATTCAGGACTCAGGCACACATTGAAAGTGCTCCCCGCGCAGATTTATCACACATCCTGACTACATCTTCTCTGAAGGAATTCCTGCTCTGAACGCGGCTGCTTTCGATTTCAAGACATTTTTCAGATTAGTGAAAATACGAACAGAGAAGCGGCACAGGAAAAGGAGGAGGGGGAGGGGGGGAGGAGGAGGAGGAGGGGGGGTGTTGGTGTTGGTTGGGGGGGGTTGCAGGCAGAGGACAGATTTTGACACATTCCTGGCTGATGGCGCTGATACGCTTTCGTCCTCCCCTCAACCCCTTTTCTCGTTCTTCTCTTTCTCTGTGGTGAGTCGAGCAATTCTTTCCAAACGAGAGCCGCCTCATCTCGGATCCAAGCTCTCTGGCTTTGATTAGTTGCTTAATGGGCCTGCCGTCAGTATGCTGTGCTCCACACGCTTGCGCAGGACGCAGGTTTTGTGTGTGTGTGTGTGAATACATCAGTATAATAAACACCGCACATATGTGTTGGTCCAATCAGCTCCAATTACACTTTTTCTCCCCCCAAGACCTCTTATGTTCTCTCCATCTGGTCCACACACTTTAAGGCAACATATCGGTGCGCTCGAGAGTCTGGCGTATACATGCAGACAATAAAACCACACCCATAGCCACCGGCGGTACCAACTGGATATCCTCTCAGCAGAACAAGCAAGGTCAGAGGAAGGGCAACGCATCTTCCCGTTTCCTGCCCTCACGCACACTCGTCGAAAGGCCGTAGTAAACTCCAGCGAGCAGGTGACGACGGCACAAATGCTACGTCAGTGGTGTCAAACGTACGGCCCGCGGGCCGGAACCGGGCCCCGACGAGGTTCGATCAGGCCCGCAGGATCATTTAAAAATGAAAACATGCACGAAAGACACGGAATGAATATTTTTAATAAAATGCAATTCGTGGATTATCCGCTAGGGGGCACATTGTTTTTCTCTTAAATTTGTAAAGTGTAGGCAGGGATTAAATTTAGATTTTATATGCACATCTGTAAATGTTTTTTTTAAAAATCCTTTCTTGATAAATCTCGTTTAATCTTAAAATGCATGACTATATTTTACAATACCAATTACTTGTTAAAGTTTTGTGCCTTTGTACAATCAGTGGGATCCGTTGCAATGCATACGTGTGTGAATGATAAAAGTAAATTGCACATTTGTCTAAGGAAATCTCAGGTGTTTCATGAATTGTTTTGTAAATGATATGTGCATTAAATTTAAACATTTTCCAAATGTGCTTGTGCTTCACTATACCAAAACAAAGGAAAGACATGCGAAATGAGTCTGACACCCCTACTCTACATCATCTCACTGACTGACACACAAACATACACTCATTCGAGGCACACGGACCTTGATTCAGAATTGAAGAGGGCGAAGGCGAATTTGCTGGACATGAAGCCCTTCTCTACATCTCTGACCTTGAGGTTGTCTAAAGCGAGCATGTACCTCTTCTCCGTCTCCTGTTTTTTTTTTAATTGAAAAATTAAAACTGGCTCATCACTGGAACTTCTTGGATTTTTTTTAAAACTGAGTGACTTGGGGATTTGTTTTCGTTTGGCGCTTTTGTTCTCATCTTTTATATGAGATATAAAAGTAAAAAACTAAGTGGAAGGATGGGTTTTTTTTTTTCATAAATTTGCTGATTTTTTTTTTTCATTTTGTCACTGTAGTGTTGTGTGTTGAATTTTGAGGAAAATTAAGTCAGTTCTATTCTGAAATAAAGCTGTAACAAAATAGTGAAGAATTTCTGGTTCTAATGAGACTAAATAGAATGTATTTATTACTGCAGTGTTGAACATGAAAAATTTTACTGTAATAAATAAACTCCCATGCGTACTGTAACTTGCTCAATTATTTTGTATGTGTAATGCAATGGACAACAACCTTTTTCTCCCCCTTGCAGCTTGAAGCATTTTGACTAGAGGGCAGCACATTTCCTCCATAGTTGAAACTTCTTTTCAGAATATGGCCACTAAAAGGCGCGGGGTTCAATTTCCTCTACGACAGGGGGCTGCAGCGTACTTTCTTTTCGGCACCTGCAGATTCACTTATTTGTTAAAAAAAAAAAAAGAAAAAACAATTCAACCTGTTGAATGACTACAAGGAGAAATTGGCGCTATATCGCTACTTTAGGAACCCGTTTTATGATGAAATATTGTTCTAAAAAGCATTTTGTACTAATAAAGGTCTCTTTAAAAATAACTTTTTTTAAAAGTCATCCATCTACCAACCTACCTATCAGAGGTGGGGTTCACTAAGAACTAGCCGCTGGTGGATTGCAGGGCACATATTGGCAAATAAGCATGCTCGGCTGTCATTCAGATATTCCAAACTCAAGACAAATGATGTTGAAAAATAAAATGGCTCTTTATTATTAAAAAAATTATAAAATAGTGTTTTTTTTTCCCCGCGTTCATAGAATAACTGCTATTTACTGTATATTTACACAAAAAGTTCAGGCACTTGTGGAAAAGTCAGCAGCCTACGGTAGTGTCTGTACAAAACAAGCTCATGACTTGCGAAAGTGTGCAGGCGGCAGACGACGGCGCTCGGGACGGATCACACATCGCACAGCTGGATAGAGGTCGCCGGGGCTGCGGGCGGCGGCGTCCTCCTATTTGGAGTTTGGGGCTGCCGGAGCAGGCCTCCTGGGTGGAACAGATCAGACCAGTGTTAGTTGTGTCTAGTAAAATTTGACAGTGGCAGTGAGTTATAAATAGCAGCAACAAATAAAAAATAAAATGCAGCTCAAGGAAGGAGAGGCAAGTGGAAGGCGGATTAGTAAGCATGCATCAACAACTTTCTTGGTTGCGTAAGTCCTGTACATAACAGTATTGGA